CTCTACAACAGCTTTCTTTTCCTGCAGAAAGGATCAGCCGCCATGAATAACAAAACCTCCAACAACGACGAAAGCCTATTCAGAAATTTTAGAAGATTTCCCTCGAAACAAATAGACATAATTAACATCTGTGACTTCAAAATACTAATTCAGGCAACGCCGAACGTGAACTGAATTTCGCAGAGAAAGCGAGACATAAATTATTTTCTTCTTTTCGGATAATGTAACTACATTATTCGGCTCATAATCAGCGCTGGAACTTATTTCCATGTAATTGATATTAAGTTTCGTAACACAATTATGTAATCACTGACTATCTCACAGCTGATTGTAGATTCACTTCACTGTGTTAAGTTTGATGGAAAAATACGAATAAATATTAATATAAGCACGATATAGATTAAATATTAAGTTCTGAATATACTGTAGTATTAGTATTGTGACAATAATGAGACAATAGTAACCACCTTTCATATTCGTTGAAAGAAATCTTGCTACTATTTGGGGAAATGGCTGATATAGAACAGCTGACTAAAGAAACAGAAATAGAAATAAAAATACAAAATAATTTTTATTCAGAGACTAGGCCCCTTAAGAATAACAATATTGTTCAAACCAATTGACAATAAATCTGGCCAGATGATCTATTATAATAAAGAGTAACTACAATCTAAGTAATAAAATGAGTACGTATATAGTTTTGGAGGGTATATTAAGGAAAGCAGATGGATACTAGATTTATAATATTATCATATTGGTACAAAAAACAACAACATACTAATAACTAAATAAAATTGGAATGAAATGCTATAAGTTTTATAGGTAACCAATTTTAGTGATACAATATAAAAAAAAATAACTAGAGTAAATAAATGATTTATATATGTTCCTTAAGACGTTTAAGTGAAAACATATGAAGATATTGTGAAAACTAGACAAGTATTGTGTTCTACCCATGAGGCAATATATTAGATGCAGAAAAATAAAATAAAATACATCTTACATATATGTACACACATTGAGAGGAGAGTGCAGAAGATAAGTAAAAAATAAAATACTTTTAAATAAATACAGTATGTTCTTAAAGTAGAGGGAAATTTTTGTAGAAAATGATAGCATACCTCAAGAACAACAAAAAACTTAATGTAAATAAGGGCCGATTTTGAGCAGAAAAAATGGAAATTCAAGTTTTGTGATTTTTTTGGTAAATCACGTTTTTTTGTTGAATAAAAAGCGATAACTAAAAAATTATTTAATTTAAGTAATTAACAATTGCTACACTGTAAACTAAATAAAATTTTCTTTAAATAAAAATAGAGTTTGTCATTGATAAAACCATTTGAAGAGAACTTTCGAGGGACTTAATTAAGCTAAACTCTGTTTTTTAAAAAAATCATTTATTATTCGCATTTTTTTTACTATCCTCCAACTATACTACAGACATCCCACTTTTACAAAAATTTCCTCGTTTAATAAGATTCGAATCCATGTAAAATTATGTTGAGGTTTATTCGGAGTTTCATCTAAAGTTGTGTAAATCACGTAAAAATACCATATCTTCATAAAATATGACAATTAATTGTTCCATTTACAAAATCACTTACTAAATTTACAAAATTGGTATTCACTATGGAAAATTAGATTAAATCATAACAAATCACAACACATAACATTTACGCTTCGACGAGAAACATGCCCACCAGTTTATATCAACAACAATCCAATTCCTCAGACGAACACTATACGCTACCTCGGGCTAATATTCGACAGAAGGATGACCTGGGGCACACACGTCAAAATGAAAAGAAAGAGTTTGAACAAGCGACTGAAAATACTATACTCACTCTTTTCTAAATCAAAATTGAAAATTAGACAAAAACTAAATACATACACTTACCTGCTCAAACCCATTTGGACATACGCCTCACAGATTTACGGTTCAACAAAAAAAACTCACTTACAAAAACTACAACCCTTTCAATCTAAAATTTTAAGACTAATAACTGCAGCTCCCTGGTACGTCAACAATAAGACTTTACATACCGACCTAAGGCAACCAACCATTGACCAGCACATACGTACACTCTACTTCCGATTTCATCTTAAACTACACGGACATCACAATGGACTTATCAACGACATGGCCACGGCTGAAATGCACATCAGGAGGCGACTGAAAAGGAGCTGGATGAGAGATCTCCTTTCCTCATTTTATGATGTAAACAGACCAGGGAAGAGGTGCTGCTGGGCTTCATTCTTCGTCATGCCATTTTCTACCTAACAACAAATCTGCTAATTGTCACTATCATGACAGGTGCGAATGAAGAATTGAAGACAAAAAAAAAAAAAAAAAAATTGTTCCATGATTTCAGAATTACATCATAATTGTCTAAATACACGATTTATTTATATAAAAAAAACTAAGGTGTATACTTTAGACCACACAATATAAGTGAAAACATCATCAAAGCGAGATTAATAATATGAAATATAAATTATAAATAATAGCTCATTACAAAGAAGATGAAATGCTGAACATTTCCTTCACTTACAGTATACAGATCAGATTTTTGAGTATCTGAAATATTTTAATCCATTTGTTCAACTAACCTTAATCACTTGGTTTCCAACATTATTCTTTTCCTATTCGCTTCTTTAACATTGTGTCGCGTTAAAATAGAATTTTAAATTATAGCCTATTTCGGAGAGGAAGAAACGCTGAACAATTTTCTCTCTTATACTTATAATAGAGCTGAGATATTTGAATCCAAATGTAAAAATATTTTAATTAGTCGAATCTAACCGAGTTTGCTCGAGCGTTAATGCCGAATTAAATCTGACCGATCAATCTAATTCACTCTCCACAAAAAAATACCTAAAGAACTTTCCACTTAAAAAAAAATTAAAAATAATAATTTTTCGACTACTCGTCATTTGAAGTGAAAGGAATTAGTTTGTATTTTTTACACTTTTAATATAAGTCACGAAATAAATGGGTTTTTGGTCCTACAATTTATATTTAAAATAAAGAAATCTGCTTATTGCGTCAATTATTTTCATCAAAACGTAAATACTATTATCAGAAACAATTTGTCACAAATAAACACGGATCAATTCTTGTACTATATTCAAATAAAAAATAGTCGAGAAATTATTATTTTTAATTTTTTTATATATATAAATAAATCGTGTATTTAGCCCATTATGATTATAATTATAAATCCCAGATTATGAAAAAACAAGAAATAAAACTTTTGCAACAATTAATTGTAATCGTTTTTGCTGATGACACGGGTAATTTTAAGTGATATAATAAAAAATCACATAATTTTTTTACACAACTTGAAGTTAATCTCAAGTTCTTCAAGAATAAATTTGAAATTAATTTTATATGCATTCAAATAAAAATTTATAATTAATTTTATATGCATTCAAATATAAATTTATAATTAATAATAAATTTTAAATTAATTTTATATGCATTCGAAAGTTATTAAACTAGGAAGTATTTGTAAAAATGGGGTGTTTATAGTATAGTTGAAGGATGATAAAAAAAAAAAAAATTGCGAATAATTAATGATTTTTTAAAATACAAAACTTAGCTTAATTTATATGCATTCAAATATAAATTTATAATTAATTTTATATGCATTCAAATATAAATTTATAATTAATAATAAATTTCAAATTAATTTTATATGCATTCGAATGTTATTAAACTAGGAAGTATTTGGAAAAATGAGTTGTTTGTAGTATAGTTGAAGGATGATAAAAAAAAAAAAAAAAAACGCGAATAATTAATGATTTTTTTTAAATACAAAACTTAGCTTAATTTATATGCATTCAAATATAAATTTAATATGCATTCGAAACTTACTAAACTAGGAAGTATTTGTAAAAATGAGTTGTTTGTAGTATAGTTGAAGGATGATAAAAAAAAAAAAAAAAAAAATCGCGAATAATTAATGATTTTTTTAAAATACAAAACTTAGCTTAATTTATCACCTTAAAAGTCCTCTTCGTAAGTTTTATCAATGACAAACATTATTTTTATTTAAAGTAAATTTTGTCTAGTTTACAGTGCAGAAATTGTTAATTATTTAAATTAAATGTTTTTTAGTTATCGCTTCCTATTCAATAAAAACCGTTACCGTTAAATTGTTTTCTTTCTTTTTTTCATTTAAAAATTTCTCTCTATTTACGGGACCTTGTATATAAATCTTGTATATATTAAAATAAACCAAAAATATTTTAAAATCGCGATATCTCGACTAATAGTGCTTCGATTTCGATGAAACTTCTTTCTTTTTGTAGGAAATTTAGATACCTTTGAAACATCTTATCACAATATCAACAAAAAAGTGTATACTTTTTGAGTTATTCGGAATTTAATTTTACCATCCCTCTAAACTTTTTTTCCAGCTTCTTTTCGTTGAAGTATGTTATATAGATAAATTTGAAGGGTGTCGAGAAAATGACTTTAGCGAAGTTTCATTGAAATCGGTACATTCGTTTAGGCGCAACAGTCCATAGCAACGCAGGTTTTTCTGCATTTTTATTTATTTTTCTCCTTTATTAACTCATCAAATTCTTTCAAAAGTTATATGTATCTAGTTATATTTTTTTGTAATTATGAATAATGCGAAATGATTAATTTTTTTAAATAAACCATGATACACCGAGTTTAATGAAAATCGTTAAAGCCGTTTTTGAGAAAAATGTGTTTCGGCGTTGATATCTGTACACACACAGATCATTTTGCGACACTTGGTTATTTGGACTCAGGGGACCTCAAAACATGCATTTCCGTTGAAAACTGAGATTCGAAAATTTTCACGATCGCAATACTTACCCTTACTATATATTACATATATACGTAAGTGAAAGTAAAAACTAAAAGAACAGCTGATGCCGTAATTATTTCAACATATGCACTTGATTTATAAAAATAAATCTAGATAACTGACTATATATAAATATATAAATAAATAGACACATACACGAAACTGCTCTTGAAGTTCGAACTGGCAGGAAGATGGGCTCTCAACAAGAAGGAAAAGCGCGATAAGGACAACACGTGAAAATAGAGTGTTCCTCGTCGAAATGAATCACCAAATCCTTGGATATGCAGATTATCTAGCTGTCCTTGGAAGCAATCGATCGGACATTAAATGACTGATAAGAGAAATAGAACGAATCAGCCAACATGCGAATGAAGATAAAACAAAATATTTGATAATGGGCCGATAACTCCACCACAATAACACGCTATGTATAGAAATCTTTTTCAAAGTATACAAATTAATACAACTCGGCTCTACAATCACATTGATGAATGACTGAATGAACGAATGAATGAAAATAAATAATGGTCGGAAGTTGACCAGCATATAATGTACGAAAACAGAGATTCTTTTCTGCCTAAATAATGAAAAATCTGGTGCGCGCAACACACAACTTTCACTTACCGATCTACTTTGAATATAAATTATTTTCTGGCAATGCTGGGGGGATATTATAAAATTTGTTGAAGTGTATTTTAAACGGAGCTAAAGCTTAAAGCTTACAGATAACAAGTCATTAAGACCATTATAATTACAAAATGTTTATTTAATATATGGAAGACAGGCAATAAAAATCAATTCACTATATCTGATTTTATAAACCACAGAATGACTAACTCCAATTTCAAATTTTTCAATTTTTGAGTGATGTCATTTTAGTGATATTTTTAGTTGAAAAAGTTATCTATGCAGACAATGAGTAAGTTGATTCCAGAAGTGGTGATTGCAGTGTTGAAATATAGAACTGAGAATAAAAGTATAAATTTAGGTACTACTTTCTTATGAAAGATGCTCTTAGGAAAGACACTTTATTAAATATCTGTAGAAAAAAGTTTTTTTAGTCTCAACAATTAAAAAAATATATTTTAAATTTATCCAAATTTTCACCTCTTCAGGGAAAATAACTAGAGACCATATCTTTCCTCCTAATTGTCCGATTTTAACGAATTTTTTTTGTTTTTTTTTTGGAAATTTCATAAACTTTTAAAAATATCCACAAAAAAGCGTATACTTTTTGAGTTATTCGGAATTTAATTTTAGCATCCCTCGTAACTTTTTTTCCAGCTTCTTTTCGTTGAAGTATGTTATATAGATAAATTTAAAGGGTATCGAGAAAATGACTTTAGCGAAGTTTCATTGAAATCGGTACATCCGTTTAGGCGCTACAGTCTGTAGGAACGCAGGTTTTTCTGCATTTTTATTTTTTTCTCCTTTATTAATTTATCGAATTCTTTCAAAAGTTATATGTAGCATTTTTTCGTAACTCTGAATAATGCGAAATGGTTAACTTTTTAAAATAAACCATATTAAAGGTACTTTAGAGGAAGACATATATGAACATTGGGCATTTAAGCCCTGTAAAGTGACATCAACGGGGATAAGACCTAAATGATATTAAAGACCACTTAATTATACAATGATACACCGAGTTTGATCAAAATCGTTAGAGTCGTTTTTGAGAAAATTGTAAAAATGTGTTTCAGCGTTCATATAAAGTGGCACTTCCGGTTAGCCGATTTTAACGAAAAAGTTGCTGTCACATCCGGCTCATATACAAACCTTAAATACTTAATATCAGTTTCGTACTACTTTTCGTTTATGAGCTAGACTGTTAACACACACACACACACAGACAGACAAACACTACACACACACACATACACACACACAGACCATTTTGCGACACTTGGTTATTTGAACTCAGGAGACCTCAAAACATGTATTTCCGTTGAAAACTGAGATTCGAAAATTTTCACGATCGCAATAGTTACCCTTACTATATATTACATATATACGTAAGTGAAAGTAAAAATCTGAAGAAACCTCAAATAAAAGGGGTACTGTGCAATGATAAAGTAATTGAAGAGAAGAATTGTTAGGGTAATCAATAAAAAAAAATATTTTTTTTAAACTAATTTTTGTTTTTTGAGCTGACAGAATGACTAACTCCAATTTAAGCATTCTTCATTATTAATTTTAGAGATGTTTTTAGTGGCAAAATTTACACCTTTATTTACAGTTCTATATTTCAACACTGCAATCACCACTTCTGGAATCAACTTACTCATTGTCTGCATAGATACAACTTTTTCAACTAAAAATATCACTAAAATAACATTAACTAGATTTTTATTGCCTGCCGTGATGTAGTAAATAAACTTTTTGTAAATTTAATAGTCTTAATGATTTGTAATATGTAAGCTTTTTATAACAGCCCTACATTGACAGAAAATAATTTCTATTCGAAGTAGAGCGGTAAATGAAAGTTGTGTGTTGCGCGCACCAGATTTTTTATATTGTTAGGTACGCAGTAAATATAAAAAATTCAAGTTTCCGCCTTTGAAAGCCGTGTGAGTTCACTGCATTGCTCCAAAAAACATTGAACTTTTGAACTATTTTTTGGTTTACGCTAAATATCTTCGTTTTAAAGTGACATAGATAAAAAATTGTTATATGCAATCTTAAACAGATGAAAATTATCTAACATTTTTATACATAACATTTTTTTCTGAACCTGGAACACTATCGTGCTTTAAAAATGAATAAAATTTTGAAAAAAAAATTGACAATTAAATTATTGTATTAATATTTGTTGGTTAGTACAGTAAAATATTAATAAAATCATTATAGCATACTATAGCTTAAACATTTATGAGTATTTATTTGATAGTTGATTCTTGACGCTTATGGCAGTGGCAATCAAGTCTAATTTTACAAGTAACTGATTCAAATATTTCAAAAAGTAATCAGTGTTTTAGAAAGAGAAATGTATTTTGCAGATGTTTTATTCTGGAGCGTTGTTCGTTATTGTAGGACATTTATTCACAAAAGACGCTTGATTTTTAACTTTAGTTTGAACGACATGAAAAACTAGACTTTACTAGTGTTTTTTATTTCCTAAGTCAATTATTTTATAATATTTTATCATGTTTTACTATTTTATAACTATCCATCTTTGATAAAAGGCCAATTATAAGTAACTCAAGTCAAAAACGTCTATCTGCTATGTTTTAAACGCCATTTTGAGACAGTGCGGTCACTTTTTTTGGGTGGTTTGTAAAATTTAATTGCTTTCTGAGCCTATCTTTTTAGACTTATTATATTAAACGTGTGAATAGACTATAGCAGAAACTTCTAGTGTATTTACTTCACAAAAGCCATTCATACGAAGCTAAGTTGAAGTTGCGTAACATAACATTTCAAGGCAAACACCTCAACATACCAAACCAAAGACCATGGAATCTATGCACCTGTTAACCCAGCAATTTTATGTAATGCTATGCTTATAATGATCATTTTTTTTCAGTAATAAATATCATTTATTCCAAAAAGTCACTTACAAAGGAGACTAAATTCAATGATTCAACGATTTCAACCATTTTTTTTTTAACTACTTCAAAAATTGTTGACACATTTCCCACCGTTCAATCCAATGGGTCCTAGGAGCGAGAAAAATATATTTTATATAATTTCTAACAAAATATAGATTATTTATTTTTGCCTTTGCTTCGTCCGGATTTTAGTATGTTATATATCAATCGATTTATTTTTTTGAGCAGAATAAGAAAAAAATATTGACTATTGCATTAAATGAGTTATGATGTATCATAATTTACAAATACCAAATTTTTAAAAAAACATTTTTATGAAAAGCAAGTTAGATTTTAGTGTCCTTTGAATCTCTTACATACGATTTTTTATATAAATCAAACATAGCATAATTTATTATTTGATTTTCTTAGAGGATTTTTTCCTGGTAGATACTAAAGCTGTTCCTGAAACTTAGGCCGAAATGTTGTCATAAAGAAAATAAATAATCAATACAAATTTATTATTTCGAAGAAGACTTCAAATCCTATTAGTTCAAACCACTTTATTTAATCTTAACAGCTCATGATCTTTAGGATAATTTTCTAGTTTTCATTTTCACGCCTTAAAAACATATACAGCGAGAAACACTTTATTTTCATAAAAATATAAAATATAAAAGATTGCTGCCCAATTATATTGGGTTGCTATATACACAGCATACTCTTCAATCCTTAGGACAATAGATGAACTTATATATAAATATACAGAAGTATTAGTTTATATTAGTAAAATAGATATATAGAATAGAATAGAATAGAAAATAGAACTTTATTCTGGGACTAAGTCCCCTTAGAATAACAAAGATGAATTATATAAATAACATACCAATCTGGCCAAAAACTAACTTATAAAAATTCTAACATAATATGCATTATTATATATATATATAAATATAATATATATATATATTTTTTTTTCCTTCCTTTCATTGTTCATGGTTTTTTTTTTTTAACATTGAACATTCCCTTTCTCTCACTTCTCTCTCTTTATCTCTAATTTTTTCAATTTTTTCAGTAAATAAATAAATACATAAATTAAAACTCCCGGGCTAGCCATGCACGTGGTGGTGAATGATTCCCAGGGATTCGAGGACTATATTTTCAGCCAACCTCGCTACGTCCTTAAAGTCGACACCTAGATCCTCGAGGAAGCTCCTTGTTCTTTTTGGAATTGTTCCCCGAGACCCAAACCAGAGGCCTCTCACGGTGAACTCTCAATCTCCAATCAACGCCCTAGTATTCAATAAATAATATCCTACTACTAAACAGGTATGTTAAGAAAAGAAAGGTGCGCTTGGCTGTCAAGTGGCCACTGAACTAAGAACCATTCAGTTTCCAATTAGGATGCCCTAAATCATCTTGTTCTAAATTCTTGAGGGCTCTCCCTCTCCAGGACGACCCTGAGGGACAATATCCGAAGAGATGGGTATCCGATGAAGGAGAAACGTCGAATTCCACTTTCTCCCCTGACCCCCGGCCAAGCCCTCCGTCCAGATTCCTGTTCTCTCTTCTTTGTAGTCTCCGACGGCTCTTGTGATCTTGGAGTCTCATTTAAATAATTTTCATGTCCAAACTCTTTTAATTAAAAAAAAAACAACTACGGTGTGTGCTTTAGACGCGATATAAGTGAAGACATCAACAACGAGGGATTAATAACAAAAAAATATAATTTATTTGCCTTCTGTAAATCCCACAAAATAATAAAATTTACAATATATATACAATTATAATTGTGTATA